CCAGATAGATTCTGAAACTGACCTGTGAAAGGTAATACTGCAGTTAGCAGAAAGACGTATAGGCTCTTTCCAGCCAGCACAGGTTGATGGGCATCTCTTGAAATACCCGGATTGGGCATGTTTTAAGCTACCCATAGATCTTGTGAGTGAGCTCTGCTGGGACTTGGACTAAGTTAGTAACTGAGACTAAGTATGAGTTATGACAAATAGTATCTCAAAAGTAGGATTGGATATTGGTCCTATTTAAAGAGTCTATAAAAAAGTCTTGCCCAAAAGATAGCAAACCCTGGAAATCCAAAGCGTACAGTGACATCATGCTCACTCATATGTATGGTCACCATTGGTGCCACTGAATGAAGGAAGAGATGCGAGCACCAGGAAGCAAAGTGGCTGCGGCACTCCATTGTTATAGTGACAATGGTAATTGCTGAGACAGTGGAAGAGAATGCCCTGGAAAATAAACATAAACAAAATGACAAGCATAGAGACTTGACTCTCCAACCCAGAGCGCTGGTGGGGAACAAGAAACACCCAATGATGCCTTACAGATTTCTGTGTCTTATGTAGATGCAGGGCAGATGTAGCTGAGAATCAGGTCAAGACTTGATTGTAAGAGTTGGAATTGCTCTTTTCTTTTTTTTAATATATCAGGCCACTGGGTCTCTTTCCCAAAGATTAGAGATGTTGATAAGGATTATAACTCTGTGTTTATGGTGGAATATTTGGACAAACTCATGCAAAACTGTTAGCTTTGAATTGTCAAGTATCTCTGCATTATTTTATCCGGGACCTTGACTGAATCGTTATACCCCAGGACATCACCCAAGTCCACTATTGGATGATATTAAACTAGTCAGAGCTGCTGAGTGAAAAAAAGCAACCACCTCAAGTACCCCATTAAGATTTTCAGGAAATTAATCACCCTGAACTTGGCCTTCCTTCCATGCTTTAAGACCTCACTTATTTAAAGTAGGATCCTCAAACCAGCATCATCTGGAAACATTAAATGGAGACTCTCGGGATTACCCAGACCTGCTGAACCAGAGTCTGCATTTTAGCAAAATTCCCAGGTAATTTTTATGCACATATAAATTTCTAGAAGCATCATTCTGAAATACGTGCTTATGTTGGAAGATGCATCTGAGGTTGGGAAAGGCCAGCTGTGGAATCTCACTAGCTTCAAGGGAGTTGGTAAAACCCAAGAAGTTCCTCTTGTTACTAGAAGCAAAACCTCAAGTCTCCACCTGTGTGGTCTTCCATGAACGCTTTGAGCTAAAATCAGAAAAGCTGAAGGCAACCCCACAACCCCTATAATAGTCATTATTTTATCGTCTCTGTAATTTGTCTCCCAAGATTCTAGTTCTTGACAAAACTCTGCATCTTTTCGCGTCTCAAAACAAAAACATATGCAGCTAAAAGGTCACACAGACAGGTCTTCACATACAGTGCTATCTCTGTCTAAAGCAGTCTTTCCACAAACTGCCCCTTCCCTTCCATGGTGACTCCTACATGGGCCCTTGGTCCCCATCTTAACATCTCCTGGGGAGCATTCCCTCAGCTCCTCCCACCACGGTGCTGAGTCAGGAGCACTTCCTTCCTGCGAGCCGCCACTTCCTCCTGCATTTCCGGTTTCAGCACCGAACACACTGACGATGAAATTGCCTAAAGACTTTGTAGGCCTGGGCTGTCCTTCTCTGTGTGACCACTGCACACGTGCAGAACTTGTCACAGGTGTCAATGATTCCTCAGTAAGTGAATGAATTCATAAAGGAAATAACTTACGCAAGACCATGCAGCCCAGCTTTGACCTGCAAAGCCTTTGGCCTCTGTACTACCCCACGTTAACTCTTGGCCTTCTGCTAGGTAACCCAGAGTCAAAAACAAACAAAAAAATTACAAAGCAGAAGTTGTGACATATAACTGCCAAGTATATTTTTGTGCAGAAAATGCAACATATTTTGACATATATAAAATTACTTATTTTATAGTTTAATATCACCAGGAGGCCTTTGTATAATTTCAGGTGAAGGAAACAGTGGCTTTATTAGAAAACAGTTATAAAGAAACAAGAACCAGGGGTTGGGGATTTAGCTCAGCGGCAAAAGCGCCTGCCTGGCAAGCGCAAGGTCGTGAGTTCGGTTCCCGGTACCAGAGAAAAAAAACAAAACAAGAAATAAGAGCCAAACATATTAAGTGTTTAAAGTTCAAATAGATCCCATTCTGCTTTGGTTATAAAAGACATTATTCTACTTCCCACCTTTTTAAATCACTTACAAGAAATTTTAAGATTTGTTTTCAGAAATGAGTGCTTGTGTAGCTGTGTTAACAGTTGATCACTTTTCAAAAACAAGATGATAGCGATGAACTGTTAACTCACCTGTATCATTTTTATTGTTTCCATGTGGTTTTGTTCTTGCCTTTGTTGTTGTTATTTTGTTATTTTCTTTCTCTTTAAAAAAAAAAAAAAAGAAAAACCAGTTCATCACTTTTGCTGTAGTAAATATTTTTTCATTTTATATTTGAACTTGTTAACTGTGGTAGCCTGAAGGCTGTGGAACATAATAATTGTTTCTCTTTTACTCTGATACACCATCCTTCTATTTATTTCTCTTTCTTTTAAGTATAAATGAAATTCTAGGGGCTGGGGTTTTAGCTCAGCGGCACAGCGCCTGCCTGCCAAGCACAAGGTCGTGAGTTCGATTCCTGGTACCGGAAAACAAACAAACAAACAAAAAGAACAAAAAACAAAAGAATTTCTAGCTCGGTTAGCTCTTCTTGTTCTGATTGCCAGACTTTCCAGTAATCACATCTGAGGGGTTTTATGAGTTTGGTTTTTTTTTTTCTTTTTGACATATGGGCAATTTTCATTATTTCAGTCCAGCAGTGACCTTTGGAATTCCAGGGTCCTTTTCCCTTCCCTTCTTGGTGCTCCCACAAGACCCAGAAGCACAAACATCTGAGGAGCCCCTTGGCATTTTCACATCTGTTGACGTAGACAATGAAGATGAAGGCCACTGTGTGGTAGATGTTCAGCAGGTGTCGAACTTGGGGAAGAATTGGCTGGTTTTAAGGGACAGGCAGAAGCAGTGCTTAATTCTTAATTTCCAGGCTTTTTAGAAACACTGAGAAAACAAAGTTAATCTCTTCATATAAAATTCATACTGAACAACCACAGTAAGTAATTCCTAAGTAAAAGTCAGACTGGTTTTTGGTTCTGAGGTCCTACCTTTCCTATTAATTTGCCATCTAGAGCAACTCAATCTTTCCCCCGAGGTTATACCTTCTTGATATGTCTAGAATCTGTGAAATATTATTTATTCGCAGAGTACTTTGTTTTATGTTTAATTTTTAAGACAGTACACAATTTTTATGCTCAATACACCAACCAAGTTGAAATTCTTTCTAAAGCTAATTAGCCCAGTGGAAATTATTCACCGGGGACAAGAATGCAAGAGAAATATCATCTGTATTATCTGCCTTGCAAAAGTCTCCAAAATCATTGCTTTTATTTGCTCACTGGTAGTAAAGACTCTAAATTACAGAAACAATAGAAGCACTATGTTTAACCCAAAATATCACTGAAATCCCATTTTAGGAAAATCTGTTTCTTTCAAATTTCCTCAGAGAAGTACAAAGTATTGCTCGGTGTGCAGTTATCTGCCGGTATAAATGGTATAAATGGATGATTACTTAAATACGGCTTCTTTTACAAGAGAGTTAGAGGACTTTACAAAAGCATCACGCTGTGCTTGCTGTACAGGTGAGCCTCTTACAAGTAAATAATTTGACTTAAAAGATTGTTAGAAACTTTTTCTTATCTCTTCATCTGGTCTATAATTGCTGTTTGTAATCTGCCTTTTAAAAAAGTCAGCTGGGGCTTAATTCCTTCCACTATCTTGAAAGTCAGGAATTATCTAATGGAAATGGAAAGGTAAGAGTGTTACAATCAGAGATGATCTTCCTCAAAACACCAAAATATCTTGCCTATCCTTGGAGCACAGGATGGACACCAAACCTGCCCCTGAGTCTCAGGCGCATTCAGGGTGGTACGGCCGTAGAGGAGACCTTGTTATCCACACCCCTTGAGTGTCCCATAGATTTAAAATTTTGGAACAGTGTTCATCTCATAAGATCATGTTCAGTTTGTGACACTAATCTTGAAGAGGTGACTTTCAACTCAAATGTGTTGTAGTCCTATGAAATTAGAGAGCTGATCCTGTCGCCAGGCACCAGGGAAACCCTTCTACAGAGGACAAAATTTCCTTGACACCCTTCCTCGTCCTTTTGAGCTACGCTTCTGCAGTAAGCTTCTGATACCTGAGAATTAAAACTTCCGCCATTTACACCCTTGCAATCTCACTTCTCTTTTCAGGTGTGGAGAGCCTATCTACTGCAATTTCTCAGAATGTGCATTAGATTTTCATAAGTATTTTTCTAGCAGAAGTCTTTGCAAAGCTTGAGATCAGACTCCCTTGTTTATAATGTGATTTTAAGCAGCCAGAGTACCACAAAAGCTAGTGTATTTTAGTCTTTTTGTGGAGGGTTAGGTAACCCTGCCAGACACCAAGCGAGGGCTTTCCACTGTTAGAGAGGAACACCAGTGGGAATGTGGGTGGCCCAGCAAAAATCCATCCCTGCTATAGATAAACATTCAAAGAAAGTATCTGGCAGAGGTCTATGGTCTTACCTCCAAAAGACAGAGGCCATGCTGCGGTCACAAGGCTGAACCAATCCAGTTACTATGAGGACACCTCCCAGTGGGCATCCAGGTAGAACCACATATTTAAAATTTGCCCCCCAAATTTTTTCACAGCTTTGATTCACCATTGCTCTGTGAGCCAAGTAGGAATGCTTCCCTCTGTTTTACAGAACGGGAAAGTGACACCAAGAAAGATTACTCGGTTGGCCTGAAATATTCTATCCCTTCTGTCAATTTAATGTTCAGTTTCCTCCTATTTCCTTACCTCACTGACCCAATTGATCTCCACTCTTCTATTTTCTTCCTTTATTACATCGTCACAATAAGAATGAACGTTTTGATGAAAGGTGTTGTTCTAGACCTTCTGGCAGGCCCCAGGCTAAAAAGATAACAAAAGCCCATTGTTAGTTTGGGAAATTACTGGAATTTCCATGAGTGTAAGCATCACAATGAAGACATCTTACCTCAAGGAGTCAAGAGGTTTATCTAATTATTTTAAATTTTTATCCTGATTATTCATTCTCAGCCATCTATTAACAAAAGGTATTATCTTTACTCCAAATATAACATCTGCAATTTGACAAAGATAACGATTTCAGAGTAAAGACAGACTGTGGCTATATATTTCGTTAATGACCATCCACAATATCTCTGGTGCCACTCATGTATGAACAAGTTAAATCTAATTCTCTTCTCTCCTTGTAATCAATAAAATGCGATGGGAGTCTGTATGACTACTAAGCTTAGTAGGTCCCAGTTTGCTCTAGAAGACATTCCTTCTGGAGTCCTGAGCTATTATGTAAAAAGTGAACTCTCTGAAGCCACCATATTGTCAGGAAGCCTGGATTTGTCTACCAGGAGGCACTGCACAGAGACACCTTGAGACTCTACGAAGGTGATGGAAGCAAGGATGGATGGATGGGTGGAAAAAGCAAAGAGAGGAAAAACGAGAAGAAGGAAGAAGAGGAGAAGGAGAATAAGAGAAACAAGAACAAGAAGGAGGAAGAGGAGGAGGAGGAAGACAGAAAGCAGGAAGGAAAGGAGAGGGGGAAAGGAAGGAAGGAAAGCCTGACCAACCCTCACCTACCCAAACCAGTTTTAGCAACTACTTCTATTTATCCACCATCAGGTAAAAGTTCAAGTCAGATCCACCTAGTGGAGTCCACCCCACATTCATGGGCCACTGGAACTATGAGATAATAGTATGGTTATTACTGTTCTAAGCCACGAACTTTTGGAGTGATTTGTTTTGCTGCAGTAACTAAAAGAGACACTGTTCCCTATAGCATAGAAGGAAACCCTATGAATTTGTTTCTTTGAGATTTCGGTAATCCCCGAAGATAAAAATTGAAGGAATGGTGAGTTATTCATCAAGATGCTCATTCCTTTTACTCCTTTGCCTTGAATTTGTCTCATAAAAAGAGTTGGGAAATGATATGGCTTAATAAACAACATACGCATCTTGCAGCACCAGATTTCGTCCGTTTATTCTCCCCAACGCATCACCTCGAGGTATATAATTCCTTCCAATGCTGGATCTCGAGATCATTTAAATTATACCACATGTTTTCCCTCCAACCCTAGAAATACTGTCATTTTCTGGATGCAGGAACAAAACAGCGTCATTTCATCTCCTCACTAGTTAGCAGTAAGCTTGGCAAAATATGTTTTTCTTGTTGCCCTAGTCTTGTTTCTTTAGAAATGTATTTATTTTTATGGGAAGCTGAGTGTACTGACACATGCTATACTTTTCTCTTAGAAAAAGTGCATACGCTTGACATAGCAGCAGTGTGCCTGCAGCTGACATGCCCCACTGGCACAAAGTGAATAATTTCTACATTGTGCAGATCCTGCTTTCTTGCTAATTTGCCAGAGTGGGTGTTTGGCTGCTTTTTTTTTTTTTTTTCTGGCACTTTGCAAGGCTTGGGTGTATGGAGAAAGAGGAAGCAATGTCAATTCAATTTTGAGAAAAAAAAACAAGCAATGAATATGCAGATTTCTACAAAGGCTATGCTACTTATGAGACATTCTGCTGTGCTGGATTATGTGTTGGCAACATTCAGGTTGCTTGCAACTAAAGTCAGCACAGTTAGAGCTTTTGTTTCTGTTGTTTTCATTGATATCATGAGACATTGCTCTCCCATGTGAATCATCAAGCTATGTGCTTAAGAAAGGGTGCCTGACAGCACTGGCTTACTGAAAGCCACATTTATTTTAAAAATCAAGTATACAATGGTCATACAAATGAAAAACTGAGTATAGCCTAACTCATTGTATCTAGTCCATCCAAAGAGCCCAGGGAATAAGTAGAACCACACTTTATTTTGCAGGAAATTGGAATTTTAAACACTGCTCACCTGCTTTAGAATGTGACAATGGGGGTGCAGCATTTGGTCACTTGCTCTTATGGGCTTTCCATAAAGTTATTTATTTATTATTGTTGTTGTTATTAAGATTCATAGATGCTAAACACACCCACATGGTTCCTGAGTTGTTCTCCATAGTCCTGAGTTGTTTATGTCCTTTCAAAGCACCTCAGTAATTTACACGCACTTAATACTCTTCCTTAGGCAATGAATGCGTAGCTTCTAATATCGTACAGGGCCTTATTCATGTCCTCTTTTGAAAACACCATCAGTAAACACTACCCACATTCAATCGGCCGTTGGTTTTGGCAGAGCTTGAAAACGTTATGATTCCAAGATACACCATTAGCTTAATATCTGATCTCATTAAGCTATGTTGCTTTCTAAGCATAATGTAAACAAAGTAGAATTATTAACAACTTCCCTGAGTCATACGGTATAATTTATTTTTATAGCACCTAGTTGTTAAGTAAGGTAGACTGTCTTTGCAGAGAACTTATATTTCATTGTGTCTTATATCTTTCCTGCTCATGAAAAAACTATTCTGCCTTCAAGGATGTTAAAAAAATAAAGCAACTGTAAAGTAAAAATCTTACTTTTACTCTCATATTTTCAATGGTATGAATGAGATATTTTTAAAGAATAGATTTTTTTAAAATTCCACACACCTATATTTTTAAAGTTGCTCTCCATTAGTTTTCTGGGTTTCATATTTGGTATTAACAGAAGAACAACTCAAAATTAGATTTCAATTATATGAAATATATGATAACTATGTATGTATTTATTACAAATGTTTACTTAAGTAATTAACTCTTATGAGTAATATTAACAGCAATTAAGCTTATGATTGGCATCATTTTTTTTTCTCTTTCTTTCCCTAAAAGAGCAAAATGAACTCTTTTCTGGATATTCTCACTTTTGGTTTGGATTTCCATATCAAACTACTCCTAAGTTGTACCTTTTTAAAAAGAAATAAAGGGGCTGGGGATTTAGCTTAGTGGCAAAAGCGCCTGCCTGGCAAGCGCAGGGTCGTGAGTTCAGTTCCTGGTACCGGAGAAAAACCAAAAAATAAATAAATAAATAAATAAATAAATAAATAAATAAATAAATAAATAAATAAATAAATAAATAAAAAGAAATAAAACCTAATGCAGTTCTGTGATATACAAAATGAAATGAGGTTCATTATAAACTGAAAGTGTACTCTGACACACTTACTTTTATTATTTTTATTTAGAGACCAGCTAAAAGTAAACAAATCCTTTTTAAGAGGAGGCATTAAAGTGCCGTCTACTTGGGCACCAAGTTTTGGTGACTAGCAGTAGAGAGACCTTTAAAGTATACTTTGTAATTTGATTCGGTATATATTCAACATGTAGATGTTCAAACATTTCTGCAGACTTTGATTTCAGACTAGAAGTAAACTATCAGAAATTACTGACCTTCGCTTCCTTAGGATAGTTTCAGGCAAGTAGCCATTCAGAAGCGTGTACTCCAGTATGAGAACTAGCAAAGTTCAGTGGATTAAAGCTACAGAACATTCATAGACTGATGTCATTTTTATTGGCACTTCTCAAGGCTTAGGTGTAGGTAGAAAGAGAAAGTTCACTGAGCTTTTTCTGAGCATCATGTAATAACGACACTAAATATTTACAAAGTAGACAATTACTAGAAAGAGGGGAAAACCGCTCTTACCCCTTTTTTGTGAAATTACAAATAACATCCATTGACTACTACTCCCCAGAAAGGATATATAGGCAATTGTTACATTGTGAATAGGAAGACAGGACCATTTTCGATAATTAATTACATTCTTAGAGTACTATCAATTGCCACCAGCCAGCAAAAACTCTATACGCTAAATGTTTTCTCAAATTGCATGTAGAAAGTCATAGTACCAACTTTCCATATCGTTGTATAGCCACTGCATTAATTTTATTTTTGATATTGTGATAATAAATGAAGCATAACTCTTATCTAACAAGATAGAAATCTTGAGTCTTCGTGTTTGCCTGAACACGTAACTAGCTTTGCTACTCTTCTAAAATATGGAATAGCTTATACTGAAATTTTATGCAAAATTCTTTCAGAAATAGTTTTTCCCCACTATGAGTTTCACTACGTTGGAGCCTTCTGCTCATTTTAAATGCTGAGTTTGGCACAGAAAACATTTAAGAAAATGACAGAAAAATGAGCGTCATCAGAGACTTCAAAGTGAGGCCATACAATTCAGAATTTGTTACCAAAAGTCCTTCAGGACTAAACCACACATGGAGGTATTTTTCCTCATTTCTCAAAGCAGAAAAAGCTGTGTTGAAAATCACCCCAGTTTATTAATTTTGCAATTGATTATACTGATTGCGGGAAGATTTCCATTGCAAAAACAGATTTTTAAGGACTAAAAATATGACAATTATGCAGGTTACTCATTTAAGAGAATAAGCAGCCACAATTTTTTAGAGTAGCAGACACTTCAAAACACACCCACTTGCCCCCTTCCTTCACCTGAAATTTCTATTCATGTTTTTAAAATAAAAAAGGTGATGCATATTTAATGATGTTAATCAAGACCTTTCACACACTAGTTCAAAAATCTGAGATGAATGATTTGTGGGAGCATTACAGATAATTAAAATACAACATTGTCTTGATAAAGTATCTCTACCCAATTAAATAGAGCCTGATTCTCAAACAGGAAATCAAGAAATCTTCCCCAAGCACATTCCCATCAAAATGTCCTTACTTTTTGTCCCACAGGAAAGGGACAGTAGAGGAGCTGGGGCATTGTCACCTACCCCAGAGAGGAAGGACTCATATTCACTGTCAGGGGCCGGAAAGGCCAAACAAGCAAAAACCCTGGCTCCTTTTCCAAAGGGGACCTCCTGAAATTCCTTTCATCTATTCAGGATGCCCTTCCCTCTCACAATAAATTTGAAAGAAAAGATAAGTGAAGTCACCCTTGGATCTCAATTTCCACTAATAAACAGAACCCAGAGCCATCATAGCATTT